TTTTTTAAATTCTTCGGCGAGGTAATCCATTGCCCGTGGCCGGCGCGGTACGCGGGAGTAGACATCGCGTCTGCGTTCTTGGTCCTGTAACCCTGTCGCTGACAATGCGCTGCGCGGTACTCTGTCATCGAGAGCTTGGGCTGCGCTTCCCTCGAAGACTCGGACATACCGTTCGGAGTTGCATCGCGTGCAGGAGACAAAGAAGGGATCTGCTCGCGGGCTTTTTCGGAACCAGCGAGGCTGGATGTCTTTCGTGTTCTCGACACAAGGCTTATTGAGCAGAGAATTCATGACGAAGGTCCTGGTGATGTTGTGGTATCTTGGACACGCGAGCCTCGTTCGAGGCGACAGTTGTGTTCACAATCTTGATGGGAAAGAGTGTCACGAGATTTCACGTGCCCAGAAATGAAGGGTGGGTCACACAAGATGCTGTGATCCCAAAATGATGTGTTTCACACAAGATGGTATGATCATACAATGGTGTGGGTTACAAAAGATGGTGTGACCACACAATGGTGTGGCTTTGCTTAAACAACAAGGCAGTACGTGGCTGGAACAGCTAGTAGTTTTAAGTTTGATTAGGTAATTCTATATAGATAGGAAAAACTATAGATTCAGATATAGGCGGCTTTGCCGCAGATAAAGCCGAGAAATACTGCTTACATTTTAAATGGAAGAGGTAATTAGCCTTGGGGTAAGGTTGTAGTTACTCTTCGAGAAAGTTGATTGCGGTCCGCTACACTCGTACTAGTTCTAAGTATAGGACGAAAGTCACCGGCCTTAACCAAGCTTCCTCTAAGTGAAAGAGCTACGGCAGCCCCGCTACGGCCCTACACTTGCGAAAAAAGGCACTTGCATATTAGATGTATGTTCATGACAGAACATAGCTTCATTAGGAAATAAGTGTGTGGAACCTTACGCAAAAATTCGAAATTCAGTCAGTCGACGTTTCATAGCGTTGGGTCACGTCATACCTCAAATAAATTTTTATGTTTATGCCTACAACGCTTAACGTTCTCGACTACAAAAGTCTCAAAATTCACATGTAGGTTGGAAAACATTTTACATTTTCAGAACTATCCTGTTGCATGACGCACAATTATCATATGCGTGTCTAGCACCATATTCTCTCTACTATTTTTAGCCGTCACATATCGCAAGTAATGACATGGCGCTTTCAAAAGTATCATTATTACTGCAGCTTCAGCATGTCTAATACGTGATGTTGGCAATTAACAACACTGAGTCGTGAGCTTTGCCTGTCTTGAAGAGGCTCATCTTGTAAATAAAGATGTTTTTGACCGCAACCTTCATGCCGAAACGGGGTTGAAAAGGCCTTGGATGTTCGTAGTAGGCCACCATGGGCCTGCTATTACCTGTCATTTGTCCACAATGGATTTGCCATGGGACCCTACGCGGAAGATTGGCCCGTTGAATCTCTTAACCGAGAAAACAGTGTGCTCTCAAAACTCAGATGTTCGATACTTTCATCGATGTAAGATCTGCAAATATTAAGGTGCTCATCAGCTAAGAGATCTATACCATCAGCACAGCTGACGTCCGTCGGCTTTGGAGCGCTCGTGGGCTTTTGATCAACCCGCTGTTGCGGCGCGGAAGTTGTACTCCGCATCTAAGGCACCATCCTTCTCATTGTAGAAAATGCTAGGTGGTCCTACTTGGGTTGTTCATTCGAAAGCACGACCTCCCAGAAAATCCACAAAGATAAAAATACGTTCATGTATGGATACATTCCATCATAATAACAACTGTTACCACAAGAAAGGGTTAGCTGCCAATACCGCGATACGAGCTCTGTGTCGGAGAGGCTTCTTCCGCATAAGTTTTGCGTGTGTTTTTCTAGTATGAAGTCTGCTAACGGAACGTGCTCTTTGGATGCCTAGAGCATGGCCAAATTAATCGTCATGGGAGCTTCTCCCACTCAAGATGAGAACATTCCCCCGTTGTTGCCGTTATAGATCTGGACGCTGAGCAACATTTTACGCTGCGGTTACCATGTTGCGATGTATAACGGATACGTGCTGTATAAGGGTGAACAAAATTACAACATTTTCTGTGCGTTTGCTCAAAACCTGAAATACTCAGATGTTCGTACTGATGAGAAGGACGAATCTCTGTAGCGGAGAGTTTCATAGCCATGAGGACTGTCAGCCTCACGTCATGAGCTGAATCAAGTCAATTATTGACTACAGTCAGACGTACATACTTAACAATAGTTTTATTGTGCTTAACCCTCATATATGTCATTGCTAAAATGCATGAGCAAACTTGGTAACCCATCTTCAGTGCGTTTCTAAACGCGGACTTCTCGAGTCGAATATTCCCGTGTGCAGGTATAGTAAACGGCTCCCACGTCGCATTGATAGCAACAGTCATCAGCCGTCATGGTGGTTCTCATTATTGAAGCCATTCGCTGACAACTGAGCGCAAGAAGTAGTTCAGCTATCCTTAGAGATCCTACGGATTTCTATCCCTTTGTTCAAAGCATCTCGCGACATGGTGGCAGGAGATACACCCGTCAAGTTGCTTGACTCGGGAAATGCATTATGAATCTGACCTGAATTTCAAACCCAGATACTGCGTCACACGACAGCGGACCTATTGGCACATCATAGAAGTCTTCATCCGTGCGGAATACGAAACGTATTTAGTTATAAAACTATGGTCGACGCCGAATTTCTATATCAGAAAGGCTAACCTGGTGAATTGTGCATGCTGAAAACGAGCTTAATGTAGATGCTATTTCGACGCATATATGAATTTTGAGATGGGATGCGCTGCAAACAGCATGAGAGGTTGCACCGTGTTCGGAAATCCATTGACCTATTGGTAGGTCTTTACCAGGCGTTCATGATAGACAGAGATACAGGTTGTGCTGTTTAATTTTCTCTGAGAGGAATGCTTCGAAAGTGGCTGATCAAACTACTGGATTTGTCTCGTGCACCAGTGTTTTACAATCATATTGTGTATCAAGGCCACATCGAGGCTACGAACAAACCTATATTGATGGTATGTTTGACCATTGTCGTGCAGAGCGCGAAAAGTGGGCAATTCACAAATTACTTGCGATATGTGCTCGAGTGTATGATTTGTGATAAAATGTTTTTCAAAAGCGATATATATGCTTTATGACAAGATGTTGTCAATATCGTCATGAATTTGGCACCGACGATATCCCTTTGCTGAGATGCCCCATTAGGAGGAATTATCTGCGGGAAGATCCCGCAACGGTAAGGATCATATGCGATTTGTCAGTAACTCTCTTCCAGAACGAAGGTAAATGGCTTCATGTGGCCAGCTACCTGCACGACTTTAGTGCAGATTTTGCTGATATGCCATGGCCCCTCACTAGTCTTCTTAATATAATGTCAGTTGGTGCTGGTGAACAGCGGAAAAGGAAGTCTTCAGTGCCGTCGAAAAAAGACCCAGAACTGACCCGGATCTGACCCTCTCGAGTTGAAATAATTCATTTTACTCGTCTGTGACTCTTCAGCCTTGGCCACAGGGCGTACATTTTTATAAGCAAATATCGATGGGTGAATGGCAGCAGCTTTAAGCTGTAGAGAGCAACTACCCACTCCATTTCAAAAGAGCCGCTTGCGATAACTTTTTTTTGTCTGCATCAGGTTACACATGCTTGGCTCCAAGCCATTTTGTTTTTACAGATTATGCATCGTTGCGCACAGCAACATCGTCATCACATTTCTTTCAGATATTGGCAAAGGTCACCCCATTTTTGCCGTCAGGGTAAGGTATCGAATGCGTCGTCTTAATGTGCTGGTGGTGTACAATCGAATCATTTTGACTGTAAACCGTTGCGTAGCACGGTGTCAATGGACGAGGCGATACATATAGCTTACGAGTCAGATGAAATACATGTTTTGTTGCTGAGCATTATGAAATAGGAGCTATCAGCTCAGGTACCACATTATCACATCGTTGATTTGACCGCTGTTTCTTTCTCAACGGCTTGCTATTTTTCAACACTGACTTAACTTGCGATGGTACATCACGACTAGGACTATGGAAGGCTGTATGAGGAACAAGATACTTCTTTGAGTGGCCACCTACTAAGGTTCGATTCATACAGCTTGCTGAGCGCTAGGTATCGGTGGATAAGTGAGTAAGTTCGTTAGTGCGTACGTACAAATCGTGTCAACGAGCAACTGGTAGTCCTTAAGTATGAAGTATATATTTGACAATTTGAAAGTCGCATACGGTAATACTGGCTTTGTTGTCTGTGAGCAAGATGACCCATCTGACTGCTGTCAGCAACAATGTTAGTGGTGAGTATATGGCCAGTCCAATATTTGACAAAGTTTTCCGACAACACGGCTTTAAGAGGCCGAAATGTCAGGTCGAGATGCTCGCTTGACACTAAAAATTCCACGAACCCTTTGCAAAAATGATACAGAGAGGAAAGTAAATATGTTTAGATAGAACTCATTCTTTTGTATGCCACTTGAAGTAGAAGAGCAAACCTAAGCAATAAAATACTGAAGTGGCTTTCGGTTCCGTTCTTTAGTGGATCATACAAATTATTTAGGTAACAGCATACCAGCTTTAAAGAGTGCATCAGTTCTTTGATCGCCCTTTATGCTATACCTGGTTGCAACCTCTTCCGCAATTTAGCTCTCTCCTAGATCTGGGCCTCCGAAAAAGACAGATGATATCTACTCCACAATGCTGCATAACGTCCAGTGAAACAATCCAGTTGTTTTTTGTGTGTGTTGAGGTATTGAATACATCAATGAAACGATGGAAGGATAGCTTTACCATCACTCCTTTTCTTTCAGCCAATTAGCACCCCGGATTGAGTAATAAAAAAATTAAAAGTGAAGCAGCAAAGAAAGCAACTCGCTAATCTCCCACTATTCTACACAATGACAACTAACGTGGACACGAATAAGAACGTCAACTGGATGGACTCCAGGGGTTTCTGGACGTTCTACATCATTTTATTGGCCTCACTGTACATGGCAATGCCCGTGATATTCCCCTCGCATGGTGACGCTCTTACTGCGGTCAACGTAATCCATGGCGTGGTACGTAGCTTGTTTGCTTAAATGACCTATTACTGGTGATCTTTGGACATTAGTTTACAAATTGGTAAATTGTATGGAAATTTTGCTGTAGGTGTCGTTTGGTATTATGCATTGGGTTAAGGGATCGCCTGACGACAATTCGATGGGCGACTATCGCGAGCTCACATTCTACGAGCAGATCGACCAGGGCCACCCATGGACAAACACAAAAAAATTTCTGATGATGATCCCAACCTTCTTGTTTTTGGCTGCCTCGGTCGCTACGGATTACAACACACGCCACTTACTCGTAAACTTTCCCATTTGGGCCACGCTAATTTTGGCCAAGCTACCTGAGCTCGATCGCGTTCGAATCTTTGGTATCAACTCGACAGTTGGTATTGACGACCACAAGAAAAATTGATACTATTTTTTTACGAGTAACCTACCAATGCGAGGGTCCATGCCAGCAGTGGCGGCTTTAAATTTGTGAGTAAAACGATAGCGTGAAAATAAACGAGAAGACGAGAGTAGGGTAGGCCTGTTTGTCTTCTTAACATTGCGCCGTACATGTTCCGTACATCGCGTGCCCATATTTTGTCTAGAGTTCGCCGTTGTAGTAAAGAAAAAGGTTGTTATTAGACGGGTCTACTTGAAAAAAAACTTTGGTAGCGGCTGTATTATTTAATATAGCCTTGCCAATGATGATCTGCCACTGGCTCCATTGTCTCTACAGCGACACCCCAGAATCAAATCACATCAACTCCTTTCTTAACAGAAAAAGAAAATATCGCTCAAATTGAGAAAGCTCTCGTGCACAATGACTGAAGATTACACTGAAGTAAGCTGAAGGATGCAATAAATTGTTGGCTGGCTGTGACAGCTCTAGCAGCATCCGCTCTTAGATTTGGACGCTTGGGGTGGAGTAATCGGGAACGCCTCACGCTCGGGTTGAGGTGGGTTTTTTGGAAGCCTTTTTGCAATAGCAACAAACAGATCCTTCACGTTCACAGACGTCTTTGCAGATGTCTCCATGTGCAAAATATCATTGTCTTCAGCGTACTGGTGAGCCTCCTCGTACTCAACCTTGCGGCGCGCTTCGAGATCGGCTTTGTTACCCGCGAGAGCGATGACAACATTTGGATCGCCACGACGCTGGAGTTCTTTGACCCAGGACTTGGCTCCAACGAAGGAGTCCTTACCATCAAATGCAGCGATATTAATTCAGTGATAGTTTCACAAACACGATGTGAACACCAGCTTGATACGTACTTTATTAGTCACATCGTACACAACGATTGCAGCTGCGGCACCACGGTAGTACATCGGCGCTAAGCTGCGGTATCGTTCTATAGTTTACGCAAGGAACAGTAAAAACACCCTTAGCATACCATGACTTTGCCAGATTGCACGTAAGTCTTGCCTTGTCCTGCGGTATCCCAGATCTCGAACTTGACCGTCAGTCCATCCTCAAGACCGACTGTCTGTGTAAGGAAAGCAGCTAAACATGATCAAGTGATAATAACACCATTATTGTCAGTTCGTAGAGACGTGTCTAGTCCAACAAAAACTGCTAGCCAGCCTTTCTTTAAAAAAAGAACCCATTTTGAGGCGTACCTCCAATTGTGGGCTCCTGGAATTCGAAAAACTCGTCGCGTACAAATCGCACAACCAAGCAGGATTTTCCCACAGCCGTGTCACCCAGAAGAACCAGCTTGAAATGGCAAGTTCTACCTTGAGCCATCTTATATTCTACTTCTTATCAAAGACTTCCTCAACCTTCGCGTCCGCTCAAAGCTTGATCAAATTCTTGCTTCTTGGCTGCTGCTTCTACTCGAACTGAGGATGGTCTTATGCTAAATTAAAATCTCCACAGCGGGAAGACTAAGAAGCTTGAACAGCTAATTGCTTCTTTCTCGCTTTAGTTCTGCTGCTTATACTCGCAGGGTACACACGCGGTATTAACAGCGTTTTTGTATCTCTGCAGATGGGAGAAGAATCTCATCATGCCCATCCGATTTGAAGGGAATTGGGCTCACTTAAAACATAATATTTTCATATCAATATGGCAGAGGACGCTGTAGCGCTTTTAGCACAGTTTATTAAAACTTTAAGAGTAACTTTTGGTTGCTCGCGTTCGCTGTATCTAGCTAGCATCAGTTGTCCTATGGAATGGGTTTGATCTAAAAAAGCAAAAGGTAAGTGAGAACGCAGCTATAGCCTCTTGATGCAGCAAATTTGTAATGGCCGAAAAATACACCTTGAAGTGCAATGTGATCAAGGAGAACACGAGACACTTGAGATCCTGGACCAGGTAGTACAGCACGCGGAGACCCTCTGGGTCCTTACTGTCTTGTACGTCCAGCAGCGAGCCAATTTTTGCGCACTGTGTGTAGGAGGTAATAACATATAGCAGTGTTTTTCTTAGTCGGATCGCGCCGATACGATTATTGTACATATAGGAAGTGGTTGAATGCAAAGCACCGTGAAAGAAATGTGATCGTCATCCAGCACTACCTCCAGCTCCTGCCGTCCTACTCGATCTGGCTCAGGCCAATCCTTGTCGTTTTCTCTGTCAAAAAGAAAAGACTTACGATTGACTGCCACTTACGCACTGCTGTTTGCTACACGTACTTTGTGATTTCACTCTCGCTGATGATCCGCTTTACCTCGTTGATCACCGACTGAGATACCGTCACTTTTTAAAATATAGTTTTGCAAGCAGTAAGCAGTATGGCGCGTGTTAAATCTGTACCGGCATGTGAAAGCAATCTACAAGATGCTCGTCTATCAACCTTCTTTGCGGATCATAGAATCTTTCTTGTAGTTAGAATTGTTGGCGTAACGAAGCTTTCCGTCGGCACGAAACTCGAACTCCATAAACTCATGGCCAAACTTGCCGCGATGGCCAACGCTGCAAAGAAATAGAAGTAGCATTAGACATTTCGTAATCTTTGTACAATCAGCTAGTAGACGCACTAATAGCGCACATAGAAGTCGTCGTCGCGGGGCATGACTGTCACCCAAGCTTGAAAAAGTATCTACCAATGAAGGCTGATACTGGTTTGGATTTATCAGCCAATGGTAAGCTCTTTAATTGCTTCTTAATTGTAGGTTGCAGCCGCGCACTGTCCACAGCTATAGTTTGACCCGAGCGTTTCGCTACACCGGCTTGCTACATTCCGCTTACTCGGCACACAGAGACAGCTAAGTTTTAAGCTACCTGGAGGTCGAAGAGAAAGAGATAGGGTCACTCCAACATTTGTCAAGTTAAAGTGAATTTATCATTCAGATCTTCCAGCAGACATAACCCGAAAAAGACGAAAGTGAATGCAACTATGAAGCGTTCGACGCGTCGCGAGCTTAGAAAGCTGATAGAGATAGATTTGGAGGAAAAAGATCAAGTTTCGACAGGTAAGTTGACGATGTAGATGCTTCCAATTTGGTGCAACTAGTAGTGGTCAACGTCTTATATTCATGTCTGGTTGGATGAAAATTAGCGATTAAAAGTGAAAACACGGTGTTAAAAATGGATACCGCCAAAGCGTCGACCACACCAACGAGTCTCCACGATGATCTCGTGAACATGATGAAGACGCAAGGTCTCGAAAAAATGGCAACAGAAGCGGGTTTATTGAAAAATGGTGCTCTCGTTGAATTAAAAGCTTCATCTACTCCTTCAGGCATTGTTTGTACGCCAAATAAACCAGAATTTGAAAACAAATTGTTGTCGGCAGCCATGACACCTTTTAGTCCCTCATTCAGCAGCCCGTACGTTTCCTGGAGAATGTACGCGTCTCATCGGAATTTTTGAGTCAGCTGTATTGATGTCGTGGCTATGTTATTGATGGTCTAGATCACCCGGGAAAAAAAGGAAGTATCTTAAGATCAATAAAGGTTTGCGCCATTTTAGCATGAAAGTATGTCAAAAAGTGGAAGAGAAGCATGTTACATCATACAACGAGGTTGCTGACGAGCTGGTTCGCGAGTTTATCACCATGCGACCAAATGATGCGGTAAAATTCTATCCGAAAGAAGGGGTTATATCGTTTTTCACTCATTTGCCATGTACCTATCTATAGGTATACGATGAAAAAAACATTCGTCGACGTGTTTACGATGCGCTTAACGTACTAATGGCCATGGACATTATTTCAAAAGAGCGAAAAGAAATTCGATGGAAAGGGTTGCCATCGAATCTGCAACACGACACAGAAATGCTTCTGGTGTGTTTTCCGGTCTGTTCTATTCGTGCCCATTAACTTAATTGAATGTTATTTATGTGACAGATAGAAAGAAAGGAGCGCATGCGGAGTGTGGAGCAAAAGAAGCAGCATTTGCAAGACCTGCTGGTACAGCAAGTTGCAATGAAAAATCTTATAAAACGAAACGCCGAACGCAAGCGAAAAGAAATTGATGACTTTGCATCAGCTACAATCGTTCGCGATGAAGGCCGAGTGTTCTTGCCATTTATTGCAGTAAACACTAGCAAAGACACTGTGATTCAGTGTGAGATGTCAGAAGATCGGCAAGACATTTTTTTTAACTTTAGTGCGCCTTTTGAAATCCACGACGACGCAGACATCTTACAGAAGCTTAACTTACACAAAGCAGCGTATGCTGATTTAAAGCAAATGGTGCCCGAAAAATTGCTATCTTATCTCCCAGCCGAGTGTGAAATGAAGAGTGAGGAGTAAATAAGTAAGAGAGTAAACAGAGATAGGTAGGTCAGATAGTCATATGAGTCAGGGGCTAAAGTTCATATTGTCGTGCTTGTCGTGTACTGCTGCGTAAAAATGTAAGTCGTTGTTTTTGTAATTATATGTTTGTTTGGTGTGCAAAGACGCTGGCAAAGAATTATAAACGGCCAGTTGCGACAACGTCGGCAAAGCTACGTGGCTTGGATCCAGACTTCAGGTGTCGTTCCTCTGCGAGAAAAACCCAGCCTTCGACGTCCGCTTCGCGCGTAAACACCGTCTCTTGAGAGATCTGCTCGCCAGACTTATCAGATACGGTGCTTACTTCGTTTAGACTGCTGTCTGTTTTAAAAAATCGGTGCAGTAGAGATTCCAGCATGGTCGCCACTTGGTGGTAGGTCGTCTTGGTAGTGTACTGTCAGTCGCTTTTTTTCGTCTGGTGTTAGTCACATTGAGGCTTTTGGAACTTGCAAGAGACGCAAACTTCAACTCGCAAAAAGGTGCAGTTGATGTTTTCGCTTCAGTACTTCAATACATTGTGGACGGCCATTTACCGTTTACGGGATGATATACCGCATCGCATGCTGATTTTCCCAATATTATCGATGTATCTATGACAAACTACTCCGGAGTAATATCGTGGAGCAGACGAGACATTTTGGCGACGAGTCAAGAAATGGCGATATTAATGGCACTGTCGTGAAACGGTCATTTCAGGTAGATATATGAAGGACTCAAGTAAAGAACTTTTACTTCAATCATTTTGATCTATTGAGAAGGAACAAATCCGATTGATGTACGGTTGTATGCCAAACATATGCACGGAAGAAGTGGTTCAGGAATTCAATAGGCATGTAGCACATCTCCAAACAGCTTTTTACATTTCCGACCAATTAGCGTTAGCTTCGATAGACATAAAAAACTGGTAGCGTTTATGCAACGAATCGCCATGAGGACTTTGACTCTCAAACTCCGAGTTAACGATCGCACATTTGTTTGGATCGGACTGCTAGCTTGCTGTGCTATTTCAACGAATTTTTATTCTATTTTGAAAGAGCACTAGATACAAAATTTACTATTTCTACTGTAAATTGCAGGTGAACATTTATACGAAGAATGGGTTTTCATCAAAGCCAATCACTAAATGTGTGTCAGAGAAAGAGCGCATTTGCAGTTGAAATACCCAAAAAGTGTATTAGCTATATAAAATAATTATTAATGAGGATAATGCTAATATTTTATGGAAAATTTAGCCTTGTGCGGTCTTGCTGAGAACGGATATGAAATTCCCCATATTGCACATTCCCAAAATCACTTCTGATCTCTTATCGGAATTCGAGCCTGAATAAATTCCCGAAGGTCGGCAGCAGCTCTGACAAATGCACATGGTTAGTTTGCGGAACGACAAAATAAATCAAGCCAGGTGACCAGCGGACCCACTTGTAGTAATTTGTGTCCGGAGTATTGTAAAGCGTGCAGTTGTCGCACATCTTGTCTAAATCCGCCTTCAACGCCGCTTTTGAAATATATGCCCCGCTGTCAATGCGCTTGCTAATAAGCTGAAGGTCCACAGGATCTTTTACGTGGTCTAGGTAGTCGACCACCACGGAAGTGTCAACAGGCTCATGGAATGGCCATGCGCTACGATGGTTTGACACAGCCTTCAGAAGCTGCAAGAGTTGCGACTTTAAGCTGCCTTGGTCGCGAGTTCTGCGCATCCATAATTCGTTACAATAAGTAATAATGCAGTTAACTTTACTGTATGAGCGAACACAAACACACCCAATGCGGCTATTACGAATCGTTGCTTGTGACCACCCAGCTTCCTCTACATACAACACAATGTCCATTAACAGCACTCAAATCTCCCTTTCTTCAAGAGTATATACTCACTCACGCCGGGAACCATATAAATGTCCATTAGCCTGCCATCTGCAAACATCGTCAGACCAGGGTATACTGTCTTGGCGCGAGAACGTTCACGTATTTTATCTTGAATTGCCTGCAAACAAAGTTCACAGGATAGTGACGGATGGCACAATGTGTCTCACAATAAGGGAGGACAGCTACCTTGCGCTGTTGATGAATCATCGACGTGATCCTCAAATAATTAATCTGAGTGTGGATCGTGCATTCCATTAGAGTTCCACCGTCGTAGTCCTTAATGTAGCCGTACCAATTTGGCCGATCCATCGATACATTTTTTGTGAAACCTTGCTTCTTGAAGTAGCCAATGGCATAATTGTCGGCATAAGTGAGAAAGTATGTAATGTTTTTGATCTTAACATATTCCTTCAAGTGATTCATAAGGCGTGTGCCGTATCCTTTCACCTGATCGGAAGCATTTATGGCGCAAAACGCAATTTCTGCAAAGTGGTTGGACTCAAATGGCCTGTAGCAGATGCCTCCGATGACGTGTTTCCCATTTTTCAAAAGGAGCATTGATCGGTGGTTCTTATCAAATACTAGTCGGACAATGTATTCCTTCGGCATTTTCGGAAGTTGTTTCGCAAAGATGTTTTTCAGTGTGGTAAGCTGAATCATATGCTCGTCTGTTCCATCGTTCGTGATCACGTCAAATTTCAACCGACCGCTGTCCTCCTCAATTTTCGCCATATCATCGCGTGACATCATTAATGCTGGAGAGTCGATAGTAGTCGTTACGGCAACATCACAAACAGCCTCTTCGGAATTCTTTAACTCTCCCGTATCCACATTCTCCATCGAGGCACAAGGCAGTGCTGATTCTATTACGCTCTCAGATGATGCAGGTGTATCCGCGATCATCTCGACGTCGACTTGCTCCTCAGATATTGCAGATTCCTTCTCACGCTTCGGCTCATCAGCTAGCTCTTTTGCATCTTGCGATACATCATTCACCTCCGCTGTATTCGAGTCTCTGCTCATACTTCGTTTTGACTTACTTACTTACACGATATTTTCATGAAATTGGTTTATACGTGACATAAATTGGAGCATAAAATTTCGTTCTTTAGCAAAAGTATTATATTTATTTAAGGCTTGCTCAATATAGATAATATAGTATTTATATGCTTAATTATCCATAGCAATGGCGTTCAGCCACAACAGACCGAGCCCTTCTTCGTCTTCTGCACGTGGTGCATCTCCAAATAGTACACCCGCGGCTTTACGAGAAGCACATCCCAAGCCCTCGTCAACCGGGCGCCACACACCGCGGCCGCCACGGGCAACGTTCAAAGGAAGTCGACTCTGAGTCAGATACTCCTTTCCCAAGAACAGGAAGAAGAGGAGGGCAAGGTGCGCCAACGGCGCGACGTGAGCCCTGCTCGAACCTTGCGGATGCTATGTCCGTTGCCCGAACTCTTGACTTCCGGGGGAAGTGTTATTGTTACCTATCCCCTCGATGAGGTACAGGAGCAGCAGTTTGAGGCTACCCACAGGCGGCTCTCATGCACTCGTATCCACGTTCGGTCCTAGGCCCTCGTGTGGGATACGGCTTCCGCTCGGCGGATCCAGCTACTTAGGCGAAAGACACAGTCACTCGCTCGTTAAGCGTCTACGTAGTCGGGCCCTGGCCACTACACAAGCTGAGCTTGGCCAGCAAAAAGCTCTCCGAGTTTGCTTCTCTAAAACCCAAGGGGTCCAAATGAATAGGTACCGCGCTCGACTTCGCGCTCAAAGAGGAGGTGATCTTGTACCTGCAATGCGGACTGTTCCTGTTGTGCTCACCCCTTGTGAAACCGCTGCAGATAATGAAGATCTCTTTGAGCGTCGGGTGCAGTTACACCGGAAGTTTCCTCGCTGATTCTCTTAGTGCGGGGCCACAAGGACATGGACGTGATCGTAGAACGCCATCTTTGATTTGAGTTTGCCCTTCTTAACGCGCAACGTCGTTTCCTATGAATTGTTGCCCTGCGACATATGGAATAATTTATCACGCTCCCGCGAGCTCTGTGATTTCTCACACACGTGAGTCTACGACCACAACAGCTCAGGGTCATAGTTTGAGCTCAGCTCATGACCCTTCGACTTCCCTGGCTATCGCCGAGAGCGCGGCGATTAAGACGACGCGAAGCGTCATAATCCTTCTGATCGTTAGCGTCCACGACGTCTGGGCAGTCTTGCCGAAATGGTACCTCAGTCCCACGAGTTCTACGAGTATGGCTATCCCCGCCACTTCACAAGATATTAGGTAAAACCCCGTCGACGACGTCGACCTACAAGTCGTTCCACGTGATAGTGGACGCCATCATTCTCATCGATAAAAGTCGGTGGTGGACGATGACGACTTGGTCGATCGCCGTCCGGTGACACTCGATGCTCTTCGAGCTCTGGAGGACAAAGTCCATCGTCATTGGCACTCCGCCGATCATCTCGCCGAGGTTGCATTCCGCCGTGCGGAAGACCTCGAAAGCCTGCAGCCTTTTGTGCACTAACTGCCTCACGTTTAGGACTATTGCGCCCTCTCGGAGCGGCTCCTAACCGTCGAGCAGACGAATTCGTCGCTTCATGCGACGGTGGAGCGCCTGGCGCCGTTAGAAATGGAAATCGATGTACTTCGAGCTCAAAACCAGTCGCTGGTTCAGCTTCTGGGTGGCTGAGCGCCATTGGGCACCGCCCGGTGCCAACGCTTTCGTGTTCACTTAGGCCGGATCACAGTACGGCTTAAGCAAGCCCACAAAAACACCGGGTGGGTGCGCATTCTTCTGGAAAGATTTAGCGTATGCGCAATGCCTCGCTTGGCCGCAACCTTAAAAAGTCCAATAAACCGTAGACGGAGCTTCGAACAGAATCTGCATACGTAGGAAGGTTATAGCATTCAATAAAGCCAGATCTTTGACCTCAATGTTTTCCGCATTTCTTCTGATTTTTCCGTCTGTATATTCATTCTGCATGTCTCATCGCATTGCGAACGTGTCGTAGTACACTCAGTCTGGTAGACAGGAAGTCATCGATTTTTTACGAACAGTGAGTGGGCTGACATCAGCTCGCCGCTCGGCTATTACTGCAGTGAGCCGTGGGATGGCAGCGTCAGCGGGACGCGAGGATTAAGAAGCCCGCTCAAGTAGAGCGTTTTGTAGCAGTTAGACTCATGCACTGCATTGTTCAGAGCGAACTCCACAAAGGGCAGCATGGTGCTCCAGCGTCTCAGTGCAGACGCTGCGAAGAGCGTCTTCAACGACGCAATTCACGCGCTCGGCTGACCCTCGGTCAACGGACGGTCCGCTGTTGACGTAGTAGACTTGGTGCCCAGCACCCTGAAGATTGTAGACCAAAACCTTCCAGTGAATCGTGAATCTCTGTCAGAGACTATTGACTCCGGGAGTTCATATTGTCGGAAGACACGATCCACAAACAGCTTCGCTGTACCCACACCGTCGATGGTGTGTGGCACTGCAGCACGATGAGCAATCTTGCTCAGATGGCCCACAAAGACCACAACACTCGTCTTGCCCGCCGAGTCCTCCGATAGGCAAAACTCAAAGTCCAAACACATGGAATACCAACACCCGTAGGGTACCGGTAAACTAGCCAGCGGCACCACCGCATTCGGAGAGTGTCTTACCCTTTGACACGTCACACATGTGCACACATATGTGCTCGTCTATTTAACAGCTTGGGTCACCAGTAATGGCAACTCACAGAGCTATACGTCTTCTCACGACCGAGATGACCAGTGAGTGGGATGTCGTGGGCCTCACAGATGATACAGTATTTCGAATCCTCATCGTGAGAAACCACAATTTGTGGCGAATCCGTTGAATCGGTGCTGCAACCCGTTAATCAACGAATATCGGTGTAGCCGTTCGCGCAATCGCGCCGACAATATCTTTTCCGAGCTCTCAAATCCCTTGTTCCCGAGAGCTTATAGTAGCGCTACACACATACCATCACTCGCGGATGCGGCGCGGATCAAATCCGTCGCTGACGACGTCACCGTTGTGACATGAGCGAGCTCATAAATTGGTCTGTGCGACAGCGCATCAGCCAAAGCATTCTGCTTTCATGGCTTATACTTCACCTCGGTGTTACATTCTGCGAAGAAGGAGAGCCACCTGGCCGTCCTCTGCGACAGGAGAGGCGACTGAGTCGCAGTGCGTAGTGACGCATGATCATTATAAATCACAAACGGCTTTAAAAGAACAGATGCACTCTGAACTTGTCAAACGTATACTTCATCGCAAGGAATTCCTTGTCGTGAACTGAGTAGTTCTTCTCCGCAGCCTTAAGCTGGTGAGATTTGAATGCGATCACCCGATCTTGCCCCTCGGCGTCTTTTTGCAGCAGTGCACAGCCGATGGCAAAGTCCTAAGCGTCACAGACGACACTAAAGGACGATTGGGGGTTTGCAAAGCCAGTATTGGTGCGTGAAGGCCGTCTTTGGCCCTGTCAAAAGCATCCCAATGCTCGGTATCTCAACACCAAACCACATCCTTCTTAAGAAGATTCGACAATTGCCGTGCCGTTTCTGCATAACTCGCGCTATATCTAAGCAAGTAATTGGCGAGGCCAAGCCACTTGCGCAATCGCTTTTGGTTATTTGTAGCCGGCCAGTTCACAATGACCTGGACCTTAGCGAATTCCGCTCGAAGACCACGCTTCCCAATGAAGCACTTTATAAAGAGGTTTTCTTTCGCGCCGAAGATGCACTTATCCGCTGTAGCATACAGCTTATTCGTACGCATGCACTAGAACATCGCTCTGAAATGAACGATGTGATTTATCCTAATCTGTCCTCCCGTGCCCCGCACGTCTGCGGACGAAAGATGTCGTTGAAGTGTGTTTGTGCATACGCCTGGGGGGCTGAACAACTGCGTCACAAGGCGATTAAATGATACTGGCGCATTTGACGGTCTTGAGGCATCACCAGCCACTTCCAGAGCATGCCGCTCGAAGTACTCACCGCTGTCAACGAAACATCACTCGCTCTCATAAGCAATTGGTAATACCCAGCGACAAGTCGAGTGCACTGTACTTTGTACATCCAACCATATTTTACTGGAGAACGTCCTCCCTAGGGATCGGCGTCTGGCCGGAATGGTGGCAGCGTTTAACTTATCGCAAGTTTGAACGATACGCTACTTGTCGTTCGGTTTCCGGAAACAAGACGTGGGTGTCGGGAGACTTGCTCTCACGAACCATTCCTGCGTCGTACTCCGCACAAAAAAGGTGTCGACGACGTCACACGGCTCCTTTGGCAGGGACCATTGGGTGTTTCGCAGTATTTAGCTCCCGGAACTATGACGCACACCTCGGTCCGGAGGTATGACAGACGGCGGGTCTTTGATGGCGACGTCTTGAAATTCCTTTACAAAAGGATAGTACGGATCCGAAATATTCTTCAGAATTTAACGATCCACTTCGTGCATTCAGCACTCTCTTGGTGTTCTCCGGGACAGCTTTATCCAGAAGCGACGTCGAATCGATCTCCTCTTCGGCTAATGCGCCTGCTTTCAGGACACCGCCGAACTCTCGAATGACATCTCGTCCACTCGAAGAGGGCATCCACCGCGAAAATAGCCTCAAAAGTGACGTCGCCGTCTTCTCCCCGTCATACCGCTGGCGAGCGTATGTAGCTGTGCGCTATCGTTTATGGTAGACACACCCTGGGTCAGGGTCGACGCCCTGCATCTCGCAGATAATATACGGCATCGCCGTCTCCTCTCCAAGGAGGTTTTACGTCTCGTCGAGATCAGGGGGAAACACGCACTCAGCATCGTCCAGTGGATAACGTGCCACTCCACGCGACTAAAAAGTGTCTTGCGCAAGATAACTCTGACCTCGTCCGACCATGCCACTCTTGGCATGCAGCAACTGCTTTGATACTCGGGACTCTTGTCCAATACACCTTCGGTGTTTGACAACTTGGATACTCCGATATCTACATATTGACCGCCCCGGTCCAGTGCCCGCGCCAATAGCGCTTCTGCTTCCTTTCATTGGTGGGATCATGATTCACCAAAGCTCCACTAAGTGGCGCGCGCGTATCGCCCAAGGTCTTCGACCTTCAATCAATACATGGCTCAAGGAATTTCAACCATGCCATGTCAAGGATAAGGTCATACCTTGAACCCAAGTCTAAAACTAGACATCGTTCCAGGCTATCAAAGCCAAGAAACTTGACACCGAGGTCCACACGGATCTCGCCACAGTAACCCAATCCCCCGTCGCTAAGGAAACAGTGACTGTGACGGGGTACACGTACCCTGGTAACAGGGGTGTGTGTTACACGAGATGTGCATGGTGTTACTGCACCCAAACAAGAATACGGTATGTGGCTAGGTA